TGACCAAAGGCTGATTACTTGAAACAACACCGGTAATCTTACCTGAAAATCAATTCGCATTGATTGACATCACTGTTGCCTGTCAGGATGGGACCACCTTTGAACATCTCACCAATCACACACCCAACGCCCCACATATCAACTGGAGTACCATATCTCCTGTCACCCAACAAGATCTCTGGTGGTCTATACCATCTGGTCACTACACAATTTGTATATTCACGCTTATCGCCTGGTGCGATGGATCGTGCGAGGCCAAAGTCAGCAATGAGCAATTGACCAGCGTTTGAGATCAAAAGATTGGCAGCTTTGAGATCTCGATGAAGTATCTTATTCTGAGAAGTGACTCATCCAGTGAATGATTCGGTGCGGGGTTCACGTCAGATCTTTGCAAACATGGAAAAAGGTGACAGAGGAGATGATAAGAGAAAGGAAAACATGAAGAAAACGAACCCGATGTAAATAAGCAGTGCCTAACAACAACTGTTTAGAATATAACTTGATTTGACTAACACTGAATGTTATTGATTTGTTTTCCATCAAGCCAGCTAAATCATGATCAATATAAGGGAAAACCATATAGGTATTACCTCTTCTCAACAAACTTGAGCTACCTTGAGAATAAGCAATATCTACCACTGGGACAACGTTGGGATGTTGTAATGATTTCAAGATCCGAATCTCGCGTAAAGAAGTGATTGGTAACTAATCACAACCCAAGACAGATTGGTTGTTAAATTATCGAGAAGGCTTGAAAGATGGGAAGATGACAATGATCTTACCCCGTCTAATTCATTGTGAACAATGATACGCTTGACTGCTACAGTCATACCTATCTGAATTGACATACCCAGCTCAGGGATGATGCCGTCCGGATCGTCTTCGTCATCATCGTCAGAAGACTCATCTAGGGGCGAAGCGGTTGTAGCACCTCTGTTTGTTAACGCGTCCATCTTCATCTTTCGGGCGTACCTTCGACCTCTATATATTGCCTTATAAACTTCGCCGAATGTACCTTCACCTAATTTCTCAATCAACTCATACGCACTGATAGGTGAAACTCCAATAAAATGTTTTCGGGCAATCTGATTGGTAGAAAGCTCGTGAACAGGTTTCTCGTCCATGTTGGCTGGCACAATATCCATATCAACATCTAACATCTCGTCATCCTTTGGAGTCCGCTTGTGTACACCCGATGAGGTCGGCTCACGCTTCCAAGAGTATGCTTGATCGTAATTTGTATACGTAAATTCGTGTTTCATTAATGTACTTTCACTCGTGTTTTGTAGATTGCTGCTACTTATACGTGGTGACGAGATGTCGGAGGGTGCTAGGGTTAAGCCATCAATCTGATCAACTGATTCAGATGGTTTGATCTGACTTTCGATTTCGTGGCTAGACTCAACTTTCTGCTCGGCGACTTGGGGTGAAATTTGAGACAATGATGGATTTAGCTGAACCTGTTGCGCTCTTTCTTCGGAATGATGGTGAGATTGTTGGCCAAGTTTGTCCTGTACGTCTCTCATTCCTTGGACACTGCTGATTGCTGAAACTTGAGGCTTTTCAGGATCACCGATAGGTTCTGGCTGCTGTCGCGTTGTACTCCTCACAGGTTCCGTAAAGATGGGTACATTTGTAGTAGAAAGCGGTAAGAGATCACGAGAGGGAGATCTTCGGCGACCCCGGGATGGAGACCGAGACCTTGACAAGGAACGTTCAGGTGTGTATGATCTTGACCTTCGTCGAGCCCGAGGCATGAGATGATGGTGATCAATATCTGAAGGAGGACGGTCGGTGCGATAGCGGCTAGAGGGACTTTTTGATAGATGAGATGTTCTCGAAGGAGAACGTCGGTAACGATTATTGACAGTAGGTGTTCTTGATCTGGGAGAACGCGTAGGAGCGCGTGAGGAGGAGTGTGATGAGTGAGCTAAGGGTGGTGAAGAGAATCGAGAGGGAGAAATGCGCCGATCGCGTGGTGATTGATCGGCTCGATACCGGTCGGGTGAGCGGGAAGGAGGCCGCCATCGATCGGGTGAACTGTTACGAGAGCGAGGTCGAGGACGTCTAGATTCGTGTTGATAAGATGAATTTGGATGGTAAGGAGATGAGGTAGGATGCCTTGGGCTCTTTCCATGAGCTACAGTTCGGCGACTGAGATCTGAACGTGCAGGCTGATTGGAAGGACTCTGATGATGATCGCGATCTCGATTGCGCCGAGAATCGTGGGCAGGCTGGAACCGACTAGAGCCGCTACCATCAATTCTCCAATGATTAGATGAAGTTCCAGTTGTTGATTGCACTGAATAAGTAATAGCAGGAGCGTAGGCTTGATTGCCTGAACCATTGACTACATTTGAAAAAGGTAAAACAGAGTTTGACGGTGATGATCGTGATATTGAAGGAGATTTGTTCGTGAGTTGAAAAGGTAGTAATGAGCTATTATTTGAGTTAGGATCAGGACCAGAGTGAAGAGTTTGATTTGGAGTGATATCGTGATTAAGATGATTTTGATTTGGTTGATTTGAAGTTGATGAAGAGATTGAATGGTTGTTTTGATAATTTGTCGTTTCTTCTTGATCAGTTAATTCACCTTCTTCTGGTTCAGATGGCATTCTGTTTCGTTCTGTTTCTTTCTTTCTTTTCTATTGTGTTGATGATGATGTTGTTGAAGTTGAAGTTCCTTGTTTACCTTCACTTGGTTTTTTAAGCTGTGAAGCTCAAACAAGAAATTCATGATTTACCTCAACACTCTCAGTCCGATCAAAACCTTCCATATGTAAAACAAAACACCCTACTTATGTACCTAATCAAATTTAAGCTTAAACTACACCTAAAATTCAAATCATCAGCTTCTCTTCAGAGCATATTCAACACACCTCACCTCAGCACCTGAGTAATTACTTCATCCACAAAAACCTGTGTTTGGCTTCAAGTTAAACATGGCTCAATGGGCAGTCCTAAGTACAGAGTTTCCATCATTTATCAGGTGAACAACTAATTATGTCAGTATCCATATGCAAAGAATTTAGATAGAGAAACAAACCCAATGGATGGTCAAAAAGACTATATTGAAAATCTTGTCTTGAAATAATTGCACAGGAGTGATCTATGTAGGGCGTGGTATTTTTGAAAATTCAATAGGACTATCAAGTTATGTTGATTTCTTGATAAAGCCTCACTGTTTGAGCAAGAATAAGATCATCGGGAATCTGTTCAAACTCCATTCAAGTTATGTATATTCTTCAACAATAAGAATTGAATAAATTTTATCTCATGGAATTATGACCAAGTTGAAAGAGAAAGAAACTTTTCAGCAAGGGGTTTACCAGAAGATTTATATATGATCAGTGAAGTTGCATTTTTCTTCACCCCTGTGATATATTGAGATTGCATTTATGAAACAAAATGAGTTTAATGGGATTTAAATGAGTCAAATCCAATGGCTCAAGGGGTCCATCTGTTCAAAACTGGTTATAAACAGAAGCACTCAAATGGATTCAAGTTCAGAAGCACCTCTCACCATCTGAATGTTTTATATTTTCAATGTTTGATTCAAAGGGAAAACAGCTTGAAAACAGGTCTGGCAAATAAAGTGTGGAACATCAGTTAACTGTATCACTGTGGGTTAGGTGCGCAGTAGGCCAATAGGATCATAAAAGATCTAATATAATCAAGAGCCATTCATATCTGCAAGTTCATGTGAGATTTTAATCCTTTTAGCTTTGATATCTGCTCAGTCAATTTTCTGGTTGATTGATAACAGGCGTCAATCTTTCCCAGTTAAATTTATTCAATTCCAAAAGCAAAGTGAAAATATTATATTCCTCAAACAAGATAATCAAAGGTATTCATGCTACTCAAGGATCATGCATACATACGAGTCTACCAATTGTACACATCATAGTCAGAAGATGTGACCTCTCATAATCAATGATCATAAATGGGATCAGAATCCAACACTCAAAAAGGTTGAATGAATAAAGGATCAATATTAAAAAATCAAACTTCAATGCAAGTAGCCCAGAAACTGATCAACAAACAAACATATATGTATTCTTAAACATCAATTGTTTAGTCTTGAATTTAAAAAACTCAAAAGATCACTGTAACGACTCTTGCAAAAAAACTAAACTAAACTAAAATAAAAGTCACATCGTTAAATCGAATGACACACATTTGAAGAAATCCAAAGGTCCATTGAAAGTATCCGAGTCTAAACAGAAAATGAAGAGTGATTCAAAAAAGCATTTCCCTTCGCCATCGATTTATGTGAGCTTCAAGGCTTTCATCGTTTGTATTAACAAGTCGTGTAATGTGCTACTGTTCTCATCTTTTGAAACTTCTGGTTGGGATGGCGCCACTTCAACTGTCGGCTTAGAAGTTGATGCCTCTGTTGGAATCGCATCGGATGTCGATTCTTGCGGGACTGCCTTGATGGTCTGTTCAGGCGCCGGTACAGGCTCAGTAACAGATGAAGATACTTGAGGTGCAGGTGCTGGAGGTTCAGGCTGAGGTGCTACAGCCTCCTGATGTTGCTCATCGACAGGAATTGACGCGGCAGTTTTTTGTTCAATTTCGGTTGCTAAAGGTAACCTATGATCAATTTCTCTTACAAACCCCTGTGAAATCAACTTCAACTCACGTTTTGCTACACCAGATGCGATAACAGATGAAGATACCTGAGGTTCAGGCTGAGGTGCTACAGCCTCTTCATGTTGCTCCTCGGTAGGGATAGACGCCGGGGTTTCCTGCTCAGTTTCGGTTGCTTCAGCTGCTAAAAGTACCCTATCATTAGTTACTTTTACAAACCTCTGTAAAGTCAACTTTGACTCACGTTGCGATACACCAGATGCAACTTCACTTTCGTCATCTTCTTTATCTTCTTCACCCTCCGAGCCATCTTCTTCTGCGTTTATGACGAGGAAACAAACATATCGACGATTGGGTTGAGTATATAGCAACAATCATACACCGATGTAAGGGAATCAAACTCACCATCTGAATCTGCCTCAATGATCGCATCAAGTTCATCCATCTCAGCTTCATTACCCCACGTATCCAAAGCTTTCTTCATGTTACCCCACACGCCCGTCAACTCTTCCGCAGCTTCAGCATCACCAAAGTTATCATTCAGCTCCACCCTTTTCAACTTGGATCCATACCCAGTCACAAAATCCACCAATAAACCGACCACCTCTTCATCAATTTCACTACCTGATAACTTGAGTAATTCCAACTTCGAATTATTCCCAAGTTTCAAAGCTCTAGCGATCATTGCTCCACCCCGGGGTCTCAATAAACAATCACCCAAATTAAGTTCACGTAAGTTTTTGAGTTGAGGAAGTGCACTAGCCACAGCCCGAGATCCTTTTTCAGTGGCAGTGTTATCCCACATATCTAATACCTCGAGTTTTGAACAACAAGCTAAACCACTCATAAGAGGATCCCAACCATGATTACGAAAATCATTCTGAAATAGTCTAACTTCGGTTAATTCACTATGAACTTCGAAAACTCGACCCCAAGATTTAGCCGATCCATTTTCACATCTATTACGACCACAAATAATTTTACGAAGTCGACTAGGTTGATTAGCTTGACGAGCCTTAAGACCAAGTTCATAAAGTGCATCAGCAATGACGGTTGCACCAGCTGGACCAAGACCATTGTTCGCAAGTCTAAGTTCTTCCAAAGGTAAATGAGAAGAAAGAAAAGGGACCATAGAGTCTACACATCTTCCACCAAATGCGTTATCGGAAAGATCGATGATGGTGAGATTGTTGAGGTTTAAAAGTGAATTGCAAAGTGATGATAAAGCTTGTGGAATTTCTGAAATCAATCGACCGGTGAAGATATCCGCCAAGTCTGCTTCCTATTCAACAAGAGGCAAAAACGTAAGCTTGAATAAAACTTTGTAAAGGAAGATCAAGTCTTTCAGGTTTATCTTTACTCACCACCAAGCGTTCCTTTTCTTTGAGAACGTTTCCAAGTTCTTCACATGCACCAATACCGAAAGTGTTGCCACCCACTACTACCTTTGTTACTTGATCATCTGACTTTAAAGCTTCAAGATGAACCGAAATTTCTTCAGCAGTATCACATTTTAGACTTTGTCCTTTGAGTGTAAAAGTTGAAGATGACATTTTGATTTGGTTGATTTTTTGAAGTGAAGTGAATGAATCTTTTCTAAACACGGTGGAAGTCGAAGTTGACTTTTCAACAGGGCATCTGTCACATCTACATAATGAGATGTCACTTATGCACATACGGTCTGTGATAGCTTCGTGAAAGTGTAATTGACATCCTACCAATTGACGTCATCCATCAAAAGAAGATCGATCTCCTCAGATCCAGTTGACCTCCATTGCCATCGAACAAATCATAAAACCTCAAACAAAACCAGTCATAGTGAAAAGAAAAACTAAGATCTCAAGCTCAAAATGCCACAAGTCAATATTCATTCACTAGCTCAAGCTACCTTTTCACCACGATCTGCCTTTCATCTTGCCTTGGCTACCAATATAGGGGCAGGAATCTGGGTATCTTTTATTGGAGGTGTGATCATGTACAAAAACTTACCTAGACCTGTCTTTGGTAACATTCAAAGAAAGGTGCGTCCATCTCTTTTAATTATATTTGGCAGTTTCAAGCAACAAATTGGTCAATGACTGACATTTGTGTTTGTTCACGAAACGAATATGTAGCTCTTTCCAGCTTATTTCACTCTCGGATCTGCTCTCTCAGCAGTTTTATTCTCACTTCAACTCAAATTGAGTCCAACCTCTCAATCTCAACTCTTCAGACCATCCTTGAGCTCAGCTTTCTTAATACCTTTATTATTAAGTTCAATGACTATAAGTTCATTAACCAATTTACTCTACATTGGTCCTAAAACTACCAAGATTATGCTTAATCGACATGCATTGGAAGAAGAAGAGAAAAAACAATATAACGATTCAAATGTGGGAGATGAGATGAAGGCACTTAATAAACAATTTGGGATTGCTCATGGGATTTCTAGTTCTCTTAATGTGTTTGGATATTTGGTTCCTAGTGTGTTTGTTTGTCTTTGGGTTGGAGAACATGGTTTCTCTTGAAGATTTGTGATTCATTGATGGTTATCTACACCAGAAATTTTTCAACTTGTTTCAATCTGTTTAACATCATCAAAATCGGCCTCCTTTCACTTTGTCTGTGGTCTCCGTTTCACGATACGATGTGATCATCATTGTGGTCTCAATTTAAGTCTTATCTCTGACTTTTGATCAGCGTGTGTACCCCTTGTGCCAAATGTCTTCAAAGGTTTTATTGTTCGTGATGCAGCTTCTGTGGTAACGTTTGAATCTTTCGTGGGTCATTGGGATCTTGCAAAATGCCAGATATCCCAGATCGCTGGTGCTATTTTCCACCAATTTTTTTTGGATCTGGAAGGACATCACCGGTGAAGGACAACAGGGACAACATCCAATTTATGTGCTAAGAGTTGAAGTTACTTTGTCTTTGTTCACTTTGAGAGCAAATGCACAACGATGTGAAGAAACCGAATAGCCTTGACCCACTCCAAACCTTACGTATAGATTCCATCAAATTCCCCTGAGAGTTAGAGTCACTGTCGCTGACTCAACTCGCCGCACGTGAAATGCATTGGGGTAAGGTCTGGAGCGGTGACTGACTCGCAACGCCATAGTGAGTCAGTTTGATTGAAGTGATCAGCCAAAGCTTTTTCTTACCACACGTAAAAAATCTGTCGTGTTTGATGCTCTATCAAGCGAGGGGGATGTGTACTCAGTAGTTTCTACAGGATGTGTGTGGTAGTCGGGAATGAAGGAACACATTGACTGACGCTCCTCTGAACGCACCGCAGCAGCACTAGCAAGGCCATCCTGTTTACAATCCTGTTTCTCGCGCGGGCATGACGCCCAGCGTGGCTTCGCCTACACGCTACCGCGAGGTTGTCCCAGGGAACAACAGAGCCTGCCCAGAACTACGTGACACATCCCAGCAGTTTGCCAGGTCAAACACGTCCTCTCGACAACGTCAACAGGTGAGTCAATAAACTTAACAATGGCATGTTCGGATCACCCCCCATTTTTAAATATGACGGAATCTGAGTCAAAGTGGTTCATCACCGAGGTAGATCTCACAGACTGGCGGAAGAGCCTCACGCGCTTCCTTTCACTTGGTGCAGTGAACTTCATCAAGTTGACTCAATATTGTACTTACGAAGTTGAGTGAACGCTCGACAAGTAGAATGATGGAAAACACCTAATGCCGATGGTTCATGGAAACGCTGTAGGCTGTGCGGCCGCATTCAACCACATTCAACCAGATCTCGATTCAACACGACTCGACTTGCGTGAGTTGAGGTGAGGTGGTTGAGTTTACCTCCGCTGGTAAGTAAATGCCTCCGAGAGAAAATCAGCGGAACTTCCTCACCGGTCTCTGAATAGGATGATAAGTAGTGTATCTTGGCAGCACCGGTGGGAGCTTCCCACCAATGTCGGGTGAGGTGAGTTCTATCAAGTGACGGCTCAGAACGCGCCGAGAACTTAATGGGGACTGCAATCGTGAAAGAGTGCGAGTATATGCCTCATCACTCAACGCGACGAAAGGATCCGGCTATAAAAGCAGAACCTCAGGCTTGTTTGTTCCCTCCTCCCTCCTCATCCACTTCACTCATCACTACGAAAGTCTCATTAAAACCGTGCTTCATAGCCTTACGACATCTTACTATAAATCCTTATCATTGAAACCTTCCATTAGTCTTTAACAAACTTTTTTACGAACCAATCTCAACCAATCTCATCATGCATTTTACACTCCCACTCTTAGCTTTGTTGTGTGTCTTCCAGGCTGTTGTGGCTCTACCTACCCGATCTTCTAGTCTTGATGCTTCCGCTATTTTGAGTCGTCGAGCGGGAAATGATCAGGTTGTTGGGGGTGGCAACGTCAAGGAGAAATCTATTGAACAGAAGTGTTTCGGCGGTATCAACAATATTTGGGGAGGCGGTATGCCCTTCACGTACAGTTACTACAACACCCTTATGTATCAAAATGGGTTTGCCAATCTTTGCAACTCTTACTTCGGGACTGGTTATCAATGGGGTACCTGCAATTCGTACTTTGGATGCCAAACTGCCGTCAATACATTTTACAACTCCTACCTCACTGGATTCAACGGTCTTTATGGCGCTTCCTTATATGCCTTGAATGACAAAGAGTTGAAATCAGTAAGTCTTTCGATGCAAATCCTTTTTGATCTTAAATTCTGACCCCCCTGCTGCTGTCTAATTTGCTTTTTAGGACACAAATGCTGTTTGAGTGGTCGGATTGAGGTTTGAAATCGTTTTATGACTTTTCCTGGACTTTTATGATGGTTTGTTATAGATCATTCATTCTTTTGTATCTCGTTCTTCTGCTGACTTTTTTTTGATCCTTATGCTCATGTCGTTTAATAGGATTTATCTTATGAACTCGAATGATTTTTGATGTGATACGATGAACGATTCTGTTTCTGTTTTTTGTTTTTGTTTTCTCTGTAATGCGCTGTTCTCCCTCGAAGTGTTTCTCACGTAAAAACCTTCTTGCCCGACACGCCTATAAGTTCACGTTTTTGTTTTGTTTTGTCGAGCTCCTTGTGATTGGTAATTCATCGGCAAATGAAACATGCGCTTGTGGACTACGAAACTTGACATCATCTCAATGATGCGATCATGTGGTGCCTACAATTGACCTCTTGTGCATATTTTCCTAACATCTCCAATCTTTGTGATCGCCAAAAGATTCTAAAGAGTACACTTTGCGAAGATGTGAAGGATCAATCCTTTCTTTGCCCCGGTTTTCCCAAAAGCCTTTGCTTGCCTTCGCGTTGATGAGATCAGTAAACAATCTCGAATACGTACACACCCACTTTAAACAAGCTCTCGAGTGGCACGATGCATCAAGACAGGCTAGAACCACTTGAGATTGCCAGTGGGACGGTCTCAAGAACTTCATTTCTGAAAGCCGAGCGAGCCGATCATGAGCGAATTGTACGACGACAGCCTGAAAAAGTTCCATGGAATTTGGCTGACACTCCGTTATATTGATCCATGTGAGGTGGTTATATACTTCATCGCAGTCGATGTGATGTCTTTGGGGAGTGACAGGGAGTGACGCCCGGTGTAAAATTCGGAAAAGGCACTAGCATTTTTTATTTCTATACGGTTTTATGAAGGGACTCTATCATACCTGTAAAAATCCACAATATCATTGATCATCATCAACTTGTTCAAATCCTTCTCCTCTTGTTGACTCTTGAACTTTTTGCATCTCATTGTTCAATAAACCTATAACAGTTTTGCAGCCCTTCTTATATCTTGTGAGTAACCCATTTAGTGATTACAAGTCAAAGCGTTTTTTACATATATGAAATAGGCTTCCACTGAAGTGTGAAATGCTATACAAGACAAAACATCAGACCATGTTTAGCCCCTTTGCTTAAGATAATTTCTTGACCACTTTGTTGCATATATACACTTGTTGACTCAATCAAGTTGATTGTATGATTAAAACAAAAAGGTACACTTTGAAATCAATGTGAAAAACACCTCAATTCTTGTTTCTGAACCAACTGAAAACAATAAAACTCATAAGAGTGAATCAATCAAGAAACCAAGTCTTTGTTTTACAAACAAAATCAAACAACATTTTATACATACTTCAATTAATTTTCTAAACCGTCTACATGATCCACATTTTCCACGATTGTTTTCTTTCTTCTTTCAGGTGTATGAGGATCCACCACTTGAGAAATCATACCTCTAGCTAACGCAGGCATTTTTTCAGGTCCATTTACAAAACAATGCATCAACATACCCGAACCTAAACAACCTACTAAAACATCGCCAAATGGTAAGGATTTCACTATCCCTGCTGATTTTAATGATGCCCATGATGAATAAAGAGCTTTAGGTGCACAATAAAGTGCTATTTCCATCCCAAGCAAAACAAACAAAAACCGATCAGCTTGAGATTATGAAATGAAGGACTTGAAGGAAATCGATTTACCAAGTTCACCTCTTCTTTTAGGCTCTTCCCAAAATAAACAAATCCCAGTCAATGCTCCAAGTAATGAATACCATCTTGAACTTGCTAGTGTGATTTGAAATCGATCATAAATTTGTGTAGGTATACAAAAACAATTCTGAACGATTGAAACAAAACTTGAAAGGAATAAAGAACTATAAACGGTTTTTTTCATAATCGAAAGAAAGAATTGTAATGGACTATTTTATCCAAGAAGGTTTGAGGTTTTGGTTCGGATAAGACAAATCATCAGTTAATAAGGCTCTGCTTTGAAATAAAAGAAATGTTAAGAGCTAGAAGAGTTGACTGACTTTTTCAAGAGAACTTTTGATCTAAAAATTAAAGAAGGTACTAAATGAAGAATAGCATAAGTAGGTGACATAGTGATGACAGTACGAATCAATTGATTGAGATTGTACCCTAAACAACTGTCAAACTGAGGGTGATTAAGTGAACAAGGAGCACTGCGACGATTTAATCGATCAGGATCAGTAAGCCAAGCTTGAAGTTTTAATTCATTTAACCAAGTTCTAGGTTGAGCATCTTGAACAAACAATCGATGATGTAATTTTTTTATATCGGAACTGATTGGAACTCGATGTTGAAGTAAATGTCGATTGAGTCTCACAAAACGTGGATTCATTTCTCCTACTCTGCTTATCCAACCTACATACCATGCTGGAAGTGTTGAAGGGTGTGATAGGAATCCGTAGGCCACTTGAGCATTGGCGAGCGCAAAGAGAACGATGTCACCATTCGGAAATGGGAATAAAGGACGATACATCAATAGAGAATACAGTCCACTAGATCGTAGTCAATGATGAGATGAGATGAAAAGATCAGTACGAGATTCAAGAGTCCAAATTGAAAACTGAGTTTATAAATACTGACCGACAGAACACATTAGGAGCAATCTCTCTACGATCTTCTTTAGTTTGAGCAAAGAGAGATAAACCAGATAATGCACCAGCAATAAAAGGTTGCCAACCAGGAAACCATTGAGGTCTACGCCTAAGAAAAGCTGAAGAGATTGTCCATAGATAAGAGTATAATCCTAACCAAGCAGCAAGTCTAGCAGTATTAGAAGACTTTAAGATATCTGAGATTATCGATTTGAAAGTTTTGGACACGCTTATGTTTGATCGGTCGAAAGATTGATTGTTAGTTATATGCTGAACGGTATAGAAATCAATCGGGAATCAGACTTACGTTCCTCTAGGACCTTTGACCCTTCCTTTTCCTTTTACTAAAGCTAATGCTATAAGAGCACTACTAACTACACCATGCACGGAGACAAAGACGACTACACACAAAATCAAGAGCAAACAAAGTTAGTTAGGATCTCTTGAATCGAAAACTGAGATAATAAAAAAACCCAAACTTACATAAACCTTTTCTAATAGCTATTGAAACGATAGCTTTTTTTCGTGAAGAAGGAGTAGGACCTTTTATAAAAGAAGTTCTATCAAGGGGAAATAATTTTGAAATCGAATTTATTGTAGATTCCGATTTAGACCTTCTCATTGAAGGAATTGAAGGTGAACTTGATAAACCTTTTGATGACATCTTCTTGATTGATGAAGGTACATCAAATAAATAAGTTGGAAGAGTGGATCAAAGGCTACACATACACACCCTTCGTCAAAATCAAAACCCCACTGTTCGTCAAACTTTATTTGCCTAATAAACCTCAAAATTTAGACCTTGCATATCACAGCATATCACTCATCAGCATGACTGCGAGGGCGCGCAGAGGGCTTGATTACGCTAATTATCATGCCATCAACGAAGGTGAATGAAACCAAATGTGATATCTAAAGTTTTGGGCATGGGAATAGAATGAATGGCCATGCAGAATTTAGTCAACACCAAGTTCGTCATGAATTCTGCTCTGATAAATCCAGCAAGCACACTAATCCACTGGCTCAACACACAGCAAATAAGTCCATGAACATTCACACACATATGTACTAGAGAGAGACGATTTTTCAACAATCAAAGACAAAAAAACAAAAAATGGTATTATTCTTAATTGTAAAGTGATGAAGATAAGAGAAAAGTGAAAGTGGAAAGTGGAAGAATGCCTACCTGCAATATGCTCAACTCACTGATCTTGATTTCTTTTGTGGTGATGGACAAGACAATGTCAAATTGAAAATGTTCCAACAGTCAGAACCCTTGTGTTTTCCCTTGCCAATGCTGACTTTTTTCACCCTTTGTGAGATGCTTCTTGAAGTATCACTGTGAACATAATTCAACTTCCACAAGTGGGAAGGGGAAAATGACTAGGAGTACAATTGGTAATAAAAGGTTCTATCACTGCACACCTGAGCCATGACACCCACACTACATATGTGCAGCAGGCTGAGCGAATAGATGGATACCATGTACATGCACACTTGCTCAGTTATGTGCTCATCTGGATGTGTGAATTATATGTGATACTTTTTTTTTCTTTAAGTGCTTTTGATTTCACATATTGCACTAACTAAATATCTGTGTGTAAAGTAGAACTACTACAACTTCTTTTGTGTTTCTTTCTTACAACGGACTACCAAGCCTTCATAAAAAAAGCCAATTGAAATTTTGCGCTCCCAGAATTATTCACAGAAATTTAAAAGAGAAGAAAGGAAAAAGTAGATTTGATCATAAAAAAGGAAAAATATGGCATGATTTTGTAACAGCGATAGGTCTAATTTTCTAAGTATGTTTTTAGATGTGTGAATCTCCCAGTTGCCTGGATAAATTGTGCTAGAAAGGGAAACACCTTTGGTGTGTCCAAGAGTGTCGTAGCTGAGTTTTTATTGACTTTTATTTTCTCTTTTTTCAGTTGTTTTCTAAATTCTTGTCTCTACTGATTGTATTTCCTGCAGTATATTAGGAAGTGAGCCGGTGTTTCTACTGCTAAACAGATTTCACATTTGTTTGTTTCTTCAACTCCTATTCGATGGAGAAATTCTTTGAGGGGGCTGTGTCCACATCTAAGTTGGAATATGTGATACATGCTGTGACTGTTTTTCAGCTTGACAAAATCATTCCAAAAATTGACTACATACACTAACTCAAAGACTTGGTACAATTTTGTCAACTACACCACAAGGACACTTGGATGTCCAACGGATGTCCAATTTCTCTTGGCGGGGGACAGACGTCCCCCCACAGCACACCAAGAAACGTCTGTCGGACTCCAAAGTTCAGACACCTGAGCAGAGCCCATCGGGCTGCCCAGAGCGCGCGAATCAACATCCATCTGACATCCCTCAAGGTTTGTCGCGAGGGCACTCGCAGCACTGATTCCAAGAGAATCACTCCCCGATAGCTCCCTGGACCTATGTAGGTTGTCCTGAAGATATCCACAGGTTAATTTTCAGTTCACTTATTTCACACTTGTTCTGTGATTAATTACAGTGCTATTAAATTTCCTATGAAGCATTGTTATATAACATATTTGTAATTCAAATGGCCATGATGAAATGATACAAACAAAAAGATGATAAATATGATAAAGTGATAAAACCAATAAGGTGATAAACCCGATAAAACAATCAAATGATGAAAAACAATAATGTCAGTCACCAAAAGCTGATAAGAATGATTAGTCTTCTCAATCATTGACTTGAATCGTAATATTTGATGGATTGTGTTCTGTAAATTGATCAATAACAAATCAATTCATGATTCTCAGTATATATCATCATCCTCAATAGTATTACCTTCTCAAGACTTGAATCAACTTTCTAAAACGGTGCTTTGAAATTTGTAGAACAAAGATAATCCAACATGAAGGACTTCAGCTTGACGGTCATCTAGATTCACACACTTCAAATGGTAAACAGATCAAGGCAGATCCCAAATCAGAACACATTGGCAAAATTAAAGTGCAATCAAGCAATTCAGTGTGTGATTTTTATATATGTATAATCCAAACTCACCTTTGATTTCTTTGCCTTTGAAGCTTTTGAGTTCAATTGGATTTTTGAGTTAAGGTATGTAAGCTCCTTGTTTGAGAAAATCAGCAATTCAAGTCTTGAGTGTTGAAAAAGTACTGTGAATGGTGAAATTGAGCAGCTGAAGTAGACAGAACAAAAGAACCAATCAATGTGATAAATATGTAACACGAGTTTGCGTTTGTTGGTCAATCATGAAGATCCAATGAGCTTGATTGTCATTGTGAACAAGAAAAAGAAGTGTTGAAGGTAAATCAGTGTGACTTTATGGTATGAGGAAGATACCTTGACCAGAAAAAAGATGAAGATAAAAAGAAAGGGGAAAGGAGATCGAATGGAACAAGATGAAAGTGGAAGAAGGAAATGTGAAGGAAGCAAAGAGATGAAAAAGGATGACAATGCTTTGGAATGGGTCAAAGTGTCAAAGTCATTGACATCCCATGATGATGATGTCATGCAAAACCTTTGACCAAATCAATTTTCAACTTCAAGTGTCCTTGCCTCATTGAGGTCCTTTGTCTCCTTTGATGTGGTGATCATTGGATACCCAGGCTTGACGACTGTCCTACGTCCATCATGTGGACACCAGACATTTGATTACCAGGTGGACACCCAGCGTTTGCCCTAGGGGTGATCCATTGCTTGGACATCCCTACGTGATCCAAGCACAGTGTGCTCAAATCTCATCCTGGCAAGGACGACACCAGCGCATCTTCAGGATGCAGGTGCGGATATTTCGTGCACTCAGATGTCCAGCCAGCACCCCATTGATGGATGTCGGGTCGCGTCCCCATTCTTGGACATGCCCAATGCCCTGACACAAATAAGTGTCTTGGTGGTGTAAAATTCATGTATGTCAGCCCTGAGTACATATACATGTACCCAAAACTGACTTGTAACATTTAAAACATTATATATAAAATTAAGTACATATACATACAGTCCAGGAACAGTATGTAACATGTATTAAATTACACAAAAACTCAGGTGTGATGGAACACAAAAAGTTTGATTGCTAACTAACTAACTAACAAGAACAAAAGGGGATATTATAAGTACAATTTATAGAGAGTTAGCATCATGGCATTGGTGAGGATGTTGCCTTACCCATGCTGAAACACAGGGACTTGGACCCTGGAAACCTTGATCCGTAACAAGGTGGTGAGTGCGGAATTGACAGAGAGAGGTGTACCCGGGTGCAGAATCCATTGTCTGGGACGTGCCCAAACACCTTTGAAGCAAAAAAAACATTAAAAACACAAAGGAATCTTCTCAGAAACAGCAATGCAGACTGTTATGAAGCTCAAACACAAATGAGGATGTGAGGAAAGCTGCTTCAAGGCAGGATGACCACCCTTTCAACATAAAATTCACAGAAATGTTTTGTTCAAGAACTATTTTAAGGGTCTTGCAACTCAGATGAGCAATTCATAGCAGAAATATCACAACAGTGGGGCTCATCTGTAGGACTTGCTCCGGCTTGAAAGTTAAACACACCAAAATTGCAATGTAGTAGGCTTTCTCTAGCCCTAGATTAGGCCCAAGAAAACCTTCTATGCTTCAGATCATCCAAGTCTTGCGTATGGGCACGCCACCCCCTGTTGTTAGAAATATTTGGCGTGCCCAGAGCGCCTTTTGACATGCCAAACGTGCCACAACCACCACCTAAAAAATGCTTATTACATACACATGTGCCCTTAAAACAATGTGTAATATGTAATAACACATCATTCACACCTCATAACTCAGGGTCAAGAGTTAAAATACTTATATTACATATTATAAATAACATCTATATGTAATCAAGTATAACAGGTAATGATCAACCCTGAACCGATGTAGTGATAGAGACAAATATCACTACAGTTAGGTCTAGAGAGTAGAGTATATAAACCCCTGTCTAGTTTTTTTGACTCAGTTACACCTTTTGTGTCCTTTTTTTGGTTCATCCACTTTGTGAGAAAGTTGTCAGTACACAGTCATGTGGTTGTATCAATTCATTAGATTTGTAGGGCCTCTGGCCTCCCCTGATCAGGGGTTTCTGTTGTGTTGCGAGTTTCTTACGTGTTCTCATTTTATGCCTTGTGTATCAAGGGGCAGAAATACTAGAACCTTGTTCTGTCCGCGGCACCACTCCACATACAACTAGCTGATTGAGCAACCAGTGGGAGAGTCCAAATCCATATGAGACTCATTCCACATCAATTCTACATTTTTCTGCATCAATTCTGCATTATTAATCATTTTGTGCATCAAATTCAATCATTTTTCTGTTATGATATTATTGAGGCAAGGTCAAGTCCATCACGAGAACAAGTTTTCCTCATGGGCAAACGGCTGGGTTCAAAATTGAACTGTTTCGTGTTATTCCTCTTTGGTGAAAGGATGGTTGTGATGGTAGTGTTTTGATTACCCTTTTGGGAAACTGGTGGCTAGGAGGAGTACCTTTTTGGATTAGTTGCATGTTCATTCATCTAGATTTGGTTTCTTGTGTTGTAACCCCTTGCTTCAGGGTTTTTGTGTGCGTGTCTAGTTTTTCTCTTGTATACTCACTGTCCCTCGAGCTCCCGGTTCCTCCCCCATCGTGTGGAACCTGGAAGCTTAGAGTGATTCTCTTTTTCTATTCTCGTATTTGTGATCTTTCTCTATTT